CTGAGTTATTGATTTTGCCCTAATTTTTAAATTGTATCAGAAAGTTTTCTAGGGCTTCGCTGGTGGCGCAGTGGTTGAGAGTCCGCCTGCCGATGCAGGGGACACGGGTTGGTGCCCCGGTCCGGGAAGATCCCACATGCCGCGGAGCGGCTGGGCCCGTGAGCCATGGCCGTTGAGCCTGCGCGTCCGGAGCCTGTGCTCCGCAACGGGAGAGGCCGCATAGTGAGAGGCCTGCGTATCAAAAAAAAAAAACACCTTTTCTACTCTATCTTAAATATAGGTTTTTCCAACCTATGTTTGAGGGTGTGGAAAGTACGTGCTGGAGTGACTAAGGTATTTACTTGGGAAAAGTGCACAGTTGTAAAAGTTGTTTTTGAGAGTGACTATAGAAAAAAGGCTGGAAGGAATGAGACTGTAGGGGTGGCTTGGGGCCATGCTAGAAGTTCGGTGATCAAGTCGGAGTGTTTGTGTAGTGGAGAGAACATTTGTAAACATACCTCCTCCTCTATTAACCTAATTTTTGTTTCTGTTAATGTAATAGCTACAGAGTTTTAGAAGTTAGTACTTTAAGGCCTATGACAACAGCAGCAGCAACAATAAATCCTTGCCCCATGCTCACTTGTGTGTTACCTTTCCCAAACATTTTTTGGCCTTTACTTCTGATATTCAACCCCATATTCCCTAGTCATATGTTTTTAACTTTTAAAAAGACTAATTTGAGAAATTTCCTCTTGTTGTTATGGAAGATGAGAATTGGAATACTCTTAATACCATGAGGCATTCTTGGTTCCTCTCCCTTCATCTTCTCAAATAGTTATAACACATTTTGTTAACTGCTAAACCAAGTAGTGTACCATAATTGCATTTCCTTTCTTGGACAGTTTTCTGTTTTTACTGAGTTTACAGTCCCTTTATTGTTACATATGCTTAGATTTCAAGGCACTCATACTTTATCCCAAACTCTACAACAGAATTGCCAGACCGTCTGAACTCTTCTTTTCATTTAAATTCCATTAATACCATTTCATCCCCTCCTTCTCTTAGGAGGCATACCTCTTGGCACTTTCTCTGCATTTTAGCATTTTATTCTGTCCTGTTGTTTTCTTTCCTCATTCTCTCCTGACCTGGTTGCTTCTCTAGGCCAGTTTGAACTGCCCTTTACATCACTCTTTTTTGGGGGGTGGAAGGGTGTGCTGCATGGCTTGCGGATCTTAGTTTCCCGACCGGGGATTGAACCCAGGCTACGGCAGTGAAAGCACCAAGTCCTAACCACTGGACCACCAGGGAATTCCCTATATCACTCTCTTTGCTGAATTCTTTTTCTTCCTATTCTTGGTAAAGCAGTCTCTCCTAGTAGCTGTCTTAGAAAAGATGCACAAGAGCTAAATATTTTGAGATCTTTCATCTTTAGAAATGCCTTTTTTTAAACTTTTATTTGATTTTGGCTGGATATAGGTTGAGAATACTTTTTTTTAAATTAATTTAATTTTGGCTGCGTTGGGTCTTCGTTGCTGCGCGCAGGCTTTCTCTAGTTGCAGTGAGAAGGGGCTACTCTTTCTTGCAGTTCACGGGCTTCTCATTGCAGTGGCTTCTCTCGTTGTGGAGCCCTGGCTCTAGGCGTGCGGGCTCAGTAGTTGTGGCGCACGGGCTTAGTTGCTCCATGGCATGTGGGGTCTTCCCGGACCAGGGCTCGATCCCGTGTCCCCTGCATTGGCAGGTGGATTCTTAACCACTGCGCCACCAGGGAAGTCCCCTAATTTTCTTTGAAAGCCCAGTGGTTGAGGGGGAAAAAAGGAAGAGGGAATCACTGCAAGCAGCAGATGGTTGTACTTCCTTCCACCCATGTTCACAACTGGCGAGGGAGGAAAGCACTGCAATTCTACCCCACTTCAACCCATGTCCCCTGCTTCGGCAGGCGGACTCTCGACCACTGCGCCACCAGGGAAGCCCCCGAGAATACCTTTTATTTACCTTTTTGTATTCTGGATTCTAGTGTTGCTGTTGAGTAGTTCAGAGTTGTTATTCTTGATTGTTTAATATGGCCTGGTTTGTTTCTCTGCAAGCTTTTATAATATTATCTTTTTTTTTAACATCTTTATTGCGGTATAATTGCTTTACAATGGTGTGTTAGTTTCTGCTTTATAACATAGTGAATCAGTTATACATATACATATGTTCCCATATCTCTTCCCTCTTCGTCTCCCTCCCTCCCACCCTCCCTATCCCACCCGTCGGTGCTCAGTCACAAAGCACTGAGCCGGTATCCCTGTGCCATGTGGCTGCTTCCCACTGGCTATCTACCTTACGTTTGTTAGTATATATATGTCCAGGTCTCTCTCTCGCCCTATCACAGCTCACCCTTCCCCCTCCCCTATAATATTATCTTTATTCCTGAAATTTATCTTTAGCCCTGACATTTCATGATGATATAATTTGGTATAGATCTTATTTTATTCATTATGCTAGACACTAGGTGAGTCTTTCAGTCTAAAATAGATTCCTTTGATTCTGTTTTCTTGCATAATTTTTAGATTACTATTTTCTGTGTGTCATTTTCTCTGTTCTTTCTTGAACTTCTGAGTTAGATGTCAGATCTCCTGGTATGATATTTTGACTTATCATATCTCACGTATGTTCCATTCTTTGTCATTTTGTTGTATTTTTTGAGAGATCTTAATTTTCCCTTACAGCCTTTCTGTTGAGTATATTATTTCTGCCTTTTTAATTTCCAGGAGTTTTCTAGTTCAGATTACTGTTTCTTCCCCCCACCCCCCCATCTTGTTCTGAGAAGATAAAAAGAACTATACCTTTTCCTCTGTATTGCCCTTGTTTCCTCCAGGCTTCCTTTTTTGTTTGTTTTTGCTTTTTTATTTTGATATCTCATTGGAACTTTGTCCTTCATGCTTTTGCCTGAAGCTCTAAAAAGCTGACTGGAAGCTAAGTAGGCAGGTGTGGAGCTTGTCAAGTGGTGAGTTTCACCCTAAAGGTGAAGTATCTGTGTCTTTTCTCAGGGACCCTTTTATTTTCTCTAGAAAATGTCATTTATCTGTTTATTCAACAGTGATTTCTTGAATGCCTGCTTATATGTCAGGCATAGCTCTAGGTGCTGGGAATTTAATAGACTTGAACAGATAAAAATCCCTACCCTTGTTGGATCTTATATTTGGCAAAGGGAGGCAGAAAAAGGAAAGGAAAAAGTAAATATATACAGTATATTTAAGGAATGTTAAAGATTAAAAAGTAAGGAATAGGGTTAAGGGAGTATTAACAGATAATGGACATGGGGTAAGGGACATGAGGAAAAGTTGCAGCTTAGGGTATGTTAGCTAGGGGAAGGAGCTCTGATGGAGAAGAAAGTATTCCAGGATGGGAGAACAGTATATACAGAGGCCTTGAGGTGGGAATCTGCCTGACCTGTGTGTGGAACAACTTGTGGAAGCCAGTACCGTTAGCTAGAGCAGAGTAAGATGATATAGAAGATGCTGGGACTCCCCTGGTTGTCCAGTGGGTAAGACTCCACACTCCCAATGCAGGGAGCCCAGGTTTGATCCCTGGTTGGGTAATTAGATCTTGCATGCATGCCGCCTGCCACAACTGAGGAGCCCACATGCTGCAACTAAAGATCTCGCATGCCACAGTGAAGGCCCAGTGCAGCCAAAATTTAAAAAATAAATAAATAAGTAAATATTTTTTTTAAAAAGATGATATAGAAAATGCTGAGGTCAGAGTGAACAGGGGAGAGGTGGGCAGAATGTGTAAGACTTTATGGACTATTTTAGGGACTTTTGCTTTTAGTCTTTGTGAAAGATTTGGAGATAGCCAGTAAGCAGTTGGGTATCTTAAGTTTGGAGTTAAGGGGAGCAGTCTGGGCTACAATATAAAATTTGAGAGTTGCCAGTGTGTACATGGAATTTAAAGCCATAAAATCAGGGAAAAGACGTTCACTCCAGTTTTTAGAAAAGTTAGATGAGAAACGAATAATGAAGATTGACGAGTGGCCGGAGAGGTAGGAACACTAGCAGAATTTTTGTGCAGAAAAGAATGAAGAACTGCTTCAACTGCTGCTAATTATTTTGAGGATAGACAACATGAGATGGAGAGGGAAACTCATGGAGTCTAGGATGAGGTTTCTGTCTTGAACAGTTAGGTGGATGGCTTAAAACAGTCTAAGTTCTTGGAAGTTTTCCAGTGTTACCTGGTTTCCATCACAAAGGGTTTAGAACTTTCAGACTGTCCTAATTTCACTTCTATTCAGGAAAGTTTTCTGAAATAGTATTGGTTGTCAGGTTTGTCATTAAGATTAATTAACAAATTCTATGCCTAACTGGGATTGTTCAGTCCTGTTCAGAGTTGTTCTTGACAACCAGGTCATTTTAGGACGATTTTCTCAGTAATTCCTAGAGAAACAAAAATATGGGCTGTAGACATAGTCTGAGGTTTGTAAGTGTCAGACAAATGGCCCTCTTTTTTTCTTTTAATTGGGTATGGGAAACAAGCTGAAAGTGCCAAGTTGAAGATTTTAGTTAAAGAGCAGACAGATCCTGGGGAGCCTATAATACTTTTGCTTCATGTACTGTGACACACTGTGTTACTAGATGCATAAACATCTAGTACTTTTACACTTTCTAATTCATTGACCTGTTCATCATTATGAAATGACCCTCTTTATCCCTGGTAGTATTCTTTTCTGGAAACTAGTGAAGGCTATGTTTTTTGCTAATAGGAAACATCTTTTTATTCTTTTGCATTAATATATTAGATATTTAAAAAAATTTTTTTAATTTCCTAATTGTAAAATCTCTGTATATAACTATTTCTTCTACTCTCTTGGATCTTATATCACACAGGTTTACAGTTGGACACTTTTGCTCAGAATTGCATACATAGTAAATTTCCAGAACCAAACAAATTTTGAAAGTGTGTTTTTACACCAATTAATTTTAGTATAGCCATGTTCAGAGCCATAGATACAATTTACCTTTTTTTTTCTTATGTTGTAGGAATAGACTTTAAGATCAAAACAGTTGAATTACAAGGAAAGAAGATCAAGCTACAGATATGGTAAGTAATGCTAATTTATTCACTTTATGTAGTAGAATGTTAAGTCCCTGAAGGTTAGGCGGTGAAATCATTCCTTGTCAACTGTTTAAATTCTAGGAAACTTCCCATTCTAAGCAAGTAGTCAGGTGACCTTCTTTCAGTGATGTAAAAAAAAATTGTTGCCATGGACTTCGGAGTCTGTGAAATCTGGCTTGAGTGTTTTTTACCTTTTCTACTTACAGTATGAACTTGGGTAAGTTACATACCACTGTGAGGCCCTTATATCTTCATATGTAAAATGGAGATAATATCACCTATCTCAAAGGATTGTTATAAGGATTACATGAAATAATCTAGGTAATGCCTTTAGCACAATACTTTGCTCAGAAACACTATATAAAAATTAATATAATCTTTTTGTTGTTTGGAGAGTCTTTAAGCTAAAAATGTACTTAATGTGTTTATAACTTTTTATAGGCATTATTATTTTCATTAGTTTGTATAGGATTTGCCCCATAGAAGCACAATAAAATTCTTTAAATTTGTATGCAGGTATGAATCATAGACTTTAAAATTATAATAGCAACATTTTTCAGTGAATATTAGGTGATCACAGTGACCCTGTGAGAGATATATTATTCCTTTTTAAAAAAAATTTTCCTGAACAGCCTTATTGAGGTATAACTGGCATACAATAAACTATACATATTTAAAGTATACAGATTGGTAAGCTTTGACATATATATAAATCTGTGAAACCATCACCACAGTCAAGATAATGAACATATTCATCACCTCAGAAGTTTCCTTAAGCCTCTTTGTAATCTTGCCTTCCTATCCCCAGTCCCCAGGCAACCACTTTTCTACTTTCTGTCACTATAGACCTGTTTCCATTTTCTAGTACTATATACAAATGCAGTCATGTAATGTGTTATTTTTCTTTGTCTTTTTTGAGGGGAGGGGTCTGACTTCTTTACTCAGCGTAGTTATTTTGAAAACTATCAATGATTTTATGTGTATCAATAAGTTCATTACTTTTTATTGCTAAGTAGTTTTCCATTGTTAAGATAAATCACAACTTGTTTATTCACCATAAAGCTGCTACAGATCTTTGTATAGGCAAATGCTTTCTTTTCTCTTGGGTTATTCCTATTTTAAAGATAATGAAATGGAGGCATTTTGAAATAATTTAACCAAGGTCATACAGCGTGTAAATAGCAGAGCTGGGATGCATTACATGCTCAGAATGCAGGGTCGAGAGTGACATTCGTAATTGCTATACTGCCTCCTATAAATAGTAGTTTGTCAATTGATTTTGCTGCTCTTTCCAGTAACTATCGTTTTTCTTTCTTCATTGCCAGTCAACAGTTGTGTTAAATATGAATTCATGTTAATCTTTGGTTTTACTGTAATAGGACATATCATAGAGTGGTTATGAGGACTAGTGATACATGTAAAGCACTTAGAGCCGTCTCCAGTGCATAATTAATGTTCAAGAAATCGTAGGTATTATTATTTGGGGATCTCTCATGTTGAGGCTAGAACCCTAAGAATGGTAACATTTTTGAGCAGAGGAACAAGTTAGCAAAGGAAATTGCAAACCCATAGTTGGAGAGTTAGAAAGGAGAATTAGGAGAGAACAATGTCCCAGAATCCAAAAGACAGTTTCAAAAAGTTAGGTATAATTAGAAGTTGGGTATGTCTAACCAGAATGTCTTCATTACCTGACCATGTAATTAGAAGTACAATCTTTATAACATCTTTAAAATTTAATACAAATTTAAATAAAATCTAGACATTTTAAAGCATTTCCTAAATTTAATGATTCTCTTTGAAGCACAGCCCACTTGATGATCATTGATTTTTTCTTTTCTTTAACTGGGAAATAACCCAGCAAATGAAAAATGCCTCATATTCTATTTCATTATAATTAAAGTGATCTCAAGGGAAAGGATGTCAATTACTTATTCTGAATTTCAACCAGCCCCTCACATCTTATTCTGACCTTGTCCCTATATAACATTTGTGTTTCAAGCGCCCTCCTAGGCCTTGCCAGACTGATGGCTCTCTTCTTAACTGTATCCCCTTTGTATAGGGGGTACAATTATTATTTAAGCCAATAATTCTCAAACTTTTTTGACAGTAGGTAAGATACATTTTACATTGTGACTCTGTGACTCAATATACATGTACATGTATATGTGTGTGTATATAACAGAAACAGGAGCATACAAAACAATATTTTTTAAGACATATTTTTCTTTATACAATATATAAAACCTTTGCCCTACTGAATATGTCCTGTTCCTCCTCCTATACTCTGTCCTCCACACTTTCCCTTCTATTTCTTGACCTGTGGCTTTAAACATTTTTACCTCCTCTTACCATTTTAGTTTCTGTAGCTTTTAGAAGTAAAGAGTAACACGTAACGCTTGTTTTTAAAAAGAGAGCCTTCTTCAGAAGGTGCTGTTTTGAAAAAATAAGTCCTCCAGTGTAGCCTTCAAGATTAATCTAGAGGGGCTTCCCTGGTGGCACAGTGGTTGCGAGTCCGCCTGTCGATGCAGGCGACACAGGTTCGTGCCCCGGTCCGGGAAGATCCCACTTGCCGCGGAGTGGCTGGGCCCGTGAGCCATGGCCGCTGAGCCTGCGCATCCGGAGCCTGTGCTCCGCAACGGGAGAGGCCACAACAGTGAGAGGCCCGCGTACTGAAAAAAAAAAAAAAAAAAAAAAAGGTTAATCTAGAAAAGATTTCTAGTGTACCTATAAAATCAAGTATAGCACAGAAATGGCAACATTTATAATTTAGAGTTTAATAACACTTTAGAAGGAAAATTTGATGTAGTTTAGGTTTTCATGTATACAATTGACTGCTTTTTTAATTTATTTATTTTTATTTATTTATTTTAATTTTTATTTATTTATTTATTTTTGGCTACATTGGGTCTTCATCGCTGCATGCGGGCTTTCTCTATTTGTGGTGAGCGGGGGCTGCTCTTCTGGTGTGCGGGCTTCTCACTGCGGTGGCTTCTCTTGTTGCGGAGCATGGGCTCTAGGCACGCAGGCTCAGTAGCTGTGGCTCGCAGGCTCTAGAGCGCAGGTTCAGTAGTTGTGGTGCACGGGCTTAGTTGCTCCGCGGTATGTGGGATCTTCCCGGACCAGGGCTCGAACCTGCGTTCCCCGCGCTGGCAGGCAGACTGTTAACCACTGCACCACCAGGGAAGCCCTGCTTTTAATTTTAAATATACATTTTCTTATAAAGGTTAGGAATGAGTGACTGGTTAAAATTTGTGATTAATAGTTTTCAAGAGGTTAGCATTATGCCAGCTGATTTTGTTTTTTTTGCTTGAGTTGATATGCATGTTAATATTCCAGGGAGAAAAAAAGTCATGTAGCTCCAGGTTAAGAGATCTGCTGGGATATGCTGCAGTGATTCAAGAAAGCTTTTAGGAGGAAAAACCCCATTACTCTTAACTTATGATGATACCAAAATTCAACATGCTATTCTCAATTTCAGCACTTTGCTTCCAGTTGCTACTAAAAAGCACAGTGATTTTTATCTCTCTTTAGTTTGAATGAGTATATTCAGGTTCTTGTTTCAGCATGAAAAATTGTTCTGTGATTGAATATTAATTTTGGAAACTTTCTTTAGTCTGTGCTAAAGCTTTGTCTTATTTTTCTTACTCGAATGGTCTTCACTCATTTCTTTCTAGGAATCTTTTAGGTTAACTGTTGCATAAGGGTCTCACCTGTCCAAGGCACATGTGTGTGGGCCTGAAACCAGCTTGTTTGGCTGATAGAGAAGCAGCTAGCTATGGTTTTTAAAATCCCAGATCTCTAGAAAGTTTCTACCGAAGTGTCTTTTGCTATCTACATTTTCCGTAGAGTAGTGGGTCCTGCCAGGAAAACAGTCATAGTGAGTTACTTTAAGCCTGCCTTTTCTGTTTTTTTCTTTTTTGTTATTTTTGAGGTTTTTTTTTGGGGGGGGGGTCAGAAATGTTTGCCATTGTCAACATCTGTATCTTGTACCAGTAGCAGATTTTAACATCAGCACAGTTACCAGAAACCAGTTAGTATCATATTGTAGAGAAATTAAACATTTACCTACATAAAATGCCAGATACACGGGAGCCGTCTTTGAGTTTTCCCATTCCCTTAACCCCAACATCCAATTCAGCAAGTCTTATTGATTCTATCTCTAAAATATGTCTAGAATCCAAATACAATCTGATGTCTCCGTTGTTACCCCCTAGTTCAAGCCACCATTACCTCTTCTTTGGACCATTGCAGTAGGCTTTTAATATTCTAACAGGTCCTTACTTCCCCTTTGCCTTCTTCCAGTACTTTTCCCAGGTAACAGCCTTAGTAACCTTTTTCAAATATAAATATGATCATGGTTGTCATTCCTTCCCCTATTTATAACCATTTTGACTTTCCATTGCATTTCGAATGAAAGCCGAAATTCCAAATCCAAACTCCTTTCTACAGTTTACAGAGTGGTCCCCTGCCCGCTGTTCTGACCTCCTTTTGTGCTCCCTGTATATATAGTCTCTCCCCACAGCTGATCTCCTTTCAATTCCATGAACATGGCAAGCTCTTCTCCAGTTTAGGACCTTTGTACATACCCTGTAGATCCCCCTTAACCCACCCAAGTGTAGCTAGACTAAGCATTCTGAAGTACCACTCCATTCCAGAGGCTTCCCATTTCAACAGAAATAAATTTGAAAACTCAGGTTCTGGCTACTGCCCCTTCTGACCTCATCTCTTACCAGCTTTGCTCCAGCCACTGTGGTCATTTTTTCCTCTCCTGAACATGCCGAGCATACTCCCATCTGTGGGCCCTTGTTATTCACCTGTTCCTTCTGCTTTGCGTTCCCCGCGCTGGCAGGCAGACTGTTAACCACTGCACCACCAGGGAAGCCCTGCTTTTAATTTTAAATATACATTTTCTTATAAAGGTTAGGAATGAGTGACTGGTTAAAATTTGTGATTAATAGTTTTCAAGAGGTTAGCATTATGCCAGC